CACTAGAGAGGAAGTGTTCCACTGGAGGACGAATTCATCAGATCGATGCATGTTTTATGTGTGTTGAGTGTTAAACAGATTTTTCACGAGCAGCCGCCGCTGCGGCTCTGGTCTTCATCCCCTCTGACGGGGTTGGGGACGGGGCGCGTGTCGTGGCTCGCGGGTGCTGAGTGTCTGCGTTTACATGCTGGCTCGCCGCTGGGGCGGCCTCATCCGTCTCTAAGTCGGCGGGCGGAGAGGCCACCGGACCCACGATTGTAGAGACGGTCTCTGTGTCAGAAACGTCTGAGTTCGCCCCTGTGTCCACGATACTGTCGACCCATGACTCCATCACCATGTTGCCGGTGCTGTTTGGAACCGATTCGTCGTCGCCGCGGTCGCACTGCGCCTGTCCCGGGGTGACAGCCGGAGGACCGGCCGACGTCTCCGTCTGCTTTCCGTCCGGGCTGAGGGGCGATTCAGTCACCCGCTCCGGCTCAGGCGCGGGGGTCTCCACAGCCTCGGGCGCGCTCAGCAGTCGACGGACAGGGGCTTTCGGGGTGCGACTCTGGACCGGCGGGTTTTCGCGACTCGGTACGGTGTCCGTGAGTGAGGCCCTGCGTGGAGAGGACGAGAGCGCCGGATATTCAGAGGCACCTGACTCCGAGTAGGAACTCGGCGGGAACGGTGGGGGCGGGGGTGGTGGCGCCAGCTTGGCTTTGAGCTTATTTTTTTGGTACTCCCATGCGGGGCACATCCGATCCCAGGCTGGGTGCGGGCCACCACAGTGGCCGCACCTGTAGAGATCCCGGTCGCACTCATCGACCTTGTGGCCGGATGTGCCACACTTCAGGCAGTTCAGTCGCTTTGACCTGCAGGTCGTCTGGTTGTGGCCGAAGCTGCCGCACTGTCGGCAGAGGCGGGGGCTGGGCTCCCATTCCCTGACCTCCAAGATTTCATATCCCGCGTATATAGCCGGTGGGCAGGTAAGGCCCAGAAAGTGGATTTTGATCCTCGGGTTTGGGGTGGGGCCACGCGAGCGGAGTCGAGTGACGAGGGTGACCCCCTGCGGCCGCAGTTCATGTAGGAGCTCCGTCTCGTCCATGTTTTTCAGTGATGGGGCAAATACAGTGCCGGCCACCGAGTTCAGTTTGGTGGCAGGGCTGGCAGCGACTTCGTTGCCGAGGAAAGTCTGGATCGAAAGGGCCAGCGAGGCCTGAGCCTTGTTTTTAACCCGGATTAGAAGAGATCCCGATCGGACTACCTTTGCGGTGACAACCGGGCCGATTAAGGTGTCGAGTTCTCGTTTGATTCGAAACGGTGACAGACCCTGGAGGGACCGATCAGGACTAGTCAGGATGATAAACGACTGCCCGTCAGGCACGTCATCTAGCGGCTCCCAGCCTCGACCAGGCGAGCCCGGAGAGAAATCTTCGAGGAGGGGGCGGGTCAGGGGAGGGCGGGGGCGGGACAGGGGAGGGGCCATGTTTAGAGAATGTAGATGGTTGGAAATGCGCCGAAAAAAGCGTGCCAAACGCACGAAGAGGGTTGAAAAAACGAGATCTCACAGGAGGCACACCCAAGAAACGAGTATGAAGGAAACTTTTGATGGAGAAAGAAGCAAATTAACAAAACAGAGACGTAACAGTAAGGAGAGAACAGAGAACCTTACCGGTTTGTTCAAATCACGATTTTCCAGGTGGGAAAATGGCCGACACTAAACCGACGCGGACCGAGCGCGGCGCAGCACCGCCGCCGCCAGAATTCAGCAGAAATTCACAACGATGAGCGCCAAAAAGAGAATACCGAGAATGATAATTTCGAGAAAGTACTGGGAAAGCTAGCCAGTAGCCACGCAACAACAATCGCTTAAGATCTAATATCTAATAAGCGTTCCTGAGTTTTGATTTCATGCGCAATGTTTGTACTATTCGCGGCAGAAGCGTAACAAAACTTTGTGCCACCGATTTGGCAGCTAGGAAAAAAACTTTGCCCGATAAAAAAAACAATCATATGACGTAATCGATCCAAAAGCTTTAAATTGGAATTTTTAAACAATTAGCCAACTATGGGCCGAATGTTTGCCAATTTCGTGTACAGGGGCCCCTAATCTATGTCTTGCAACACAAGAACAGTATATCAAAGCAATTTTTTGAAGGTGGGACAGTCCCTTTAATGGGAGAAAATTGAAATGCTCTTCTTTTGAACGAAAACACCCTCAAACATCTGGGTACAGGTAAATATGACACATGTAATCGGAAAATTTCACTCGTGATGTGACCCCTTTTATGTTACTGAGGTCATATCAGGCAATGAAAGGTCTTCAGTAGTTTTTGGACAATAACTTTTGATAGAGATATGGTAGAGCAATGAAACACCTTATATAATTATTTTCCTTATCAACAATACGGATCGACTAATATGCAATGTGACCATTCCCGGTTAGGTACCTTCACCTTTGGTCAAATTCTCAAAATGCCCTTTTAATGTCAAATACTAGGTAATCCATTTGATTCGTGTCGAAAAATAGAACACGATGCCGGTTAAACTAATCTCGTGCAGATCTGAATCAAAAGGTATTACAGATAAGCGTCCTCCGCGAAAACGTATATTGTGAGGCTAAAACGTTTACCTTAGGTCAAATCTGAGATAATTAATAAGAAAGTGCTATCGAATGCGCTTTGCTGCGGGGCTGTAGCTCAATCTCTTTCTGAATCCTGACTTACGCGCCGCTTTGTCGAAAAATGTCAAAATCGGCGAAATTTGATTTTCGGTTGTCTCTGGTGACCTGACCTTCGACCAGTTCGACCTAACCTTAAAAATGGTTTAAGTAGTTTTGCAAAAGTTTTTGACGCTCTTTCGAACGCCGCCTATTGCGGGTCTCAACGTGGCCCACAAGCTGAGTTAGAAGTGGGTGTTCAAACACCCCCAGCAGGTTCAATTAAAAAAAAAACGCATACGCTGGAGGCGGCATCGCACTGATAGGCGGGGGTGGTATCGCATTAATGGGCGGCAGTCGGCACTGCGCTGAGGGGCACCACTTGCACTGAGGGGTGGCATTGTACGGTGAAGGGGCGGCGTCGCATTGAGGGGCGGTATCGCAACGAGGGGTGGCACTAACGAGGCTGCCTTATAAGAAACGCTTGGCACATCCTTGCCCAGCTCGGCGCCACCTGGCTGCTGCATCTTCAAAAGGGCCCTTGTTGTCGATGAGAGAGCCCCACTGTCAAATAATTACCTAGCATCAGTGGTTTCTGAGGAGGGGGGGGGGGAGCGCTAAGATCTTGAATGGGGCGGAGCGACTGAAGTCTCCATTCAGATGGGCGTCAGTGACTACTGGAGGGCGTCAGTGACTACTGGAGGGCGTCAACGAACTCGGATAGGGCGAATGTGATCTTCAGAAGGCCACCGGGTGATCTAGAGGGGTGTAATGCTTGCATGGGGTCACTGCTGCCTTCAGTAGGGCGTCGGACGCTCTGAAGGGGCGCCATTGACCTCGGATGGTCCGACTGTTATTTTCAGAGGGACACCAGTGGTTTCAGAGGGGCGCCATTGATCTAGGATGGGGCGAATGAAGTCCCGGTTCCGGTGGGCGCCAGTGGCTCTTGAGGGGCGCCATTGGGCATGGATGGGGCGGCCGCTGTTGCCTTCAGCAGGACGCCGGACGCTCTAGAGGGGCGCCTTGAGCTTGGGTGGGGCGACTGTAGTCTCAAGGGGCGTTGTCTCGGATGGGGCGAATATGATTTTCAGAAGGGTGCCGGGTACGAAGGGCGCCATTGGTTTCAGAGGGTTGCCATCGATCTTAAGATGGGGCAGCTGTGATCTCCGTTTAGATGGGCGCCAGTGACTTTTGAGGGGCGCCAGCGACCTCGAGGACGACTGTGATTTTCAGAAGCGCACCGGACGCTCTGGAGGGGCGTCATTGGGCTTGAATGGGGCGACTTCAGTCTCAGAGGGAGGTGGCTCTTTTTAGTGGCTCTCTTGAGGGCGCTATTGATCTTGGATAGGGTGACTGTGATCTTGAGAAGAATGCAGGTGCTTTAGAGGGGCGCCAGTGGTTTCAGGGGACGCCATCAATCTTGGATGGGGCCGAATGGGGCAACTGTGAACTTCAGAGGGGCGCCATCAACCTTCAATGGGGCGACTGTTCCGTTCAGGTGGGTGCCAGCGGCTCTTCAGGGGCGCCATCGACCCTGGGGGTTCGGAATATTCTGGTTTCCGGAGGGGCGCCCTTCAACATTGGGGGGCTCAGGTCCTATTTGGGGGTGCCCTGGAGGACATAGGGGTGTCCAGGCACCCCCAAAGAGACATTGAGTTCGATCCCTGCCTGCACATCACTTTTTAATTTATGTCCCCTCTGTAAAACAGCATCAGCCTAGTCGGCGCTAGTTGGGGCGCCATCTGGGCGGCTGGGCGGAAAGGGGGGGGGGGCATGGCCCCCATGGCCCCCCCCCCTAAATACGCCACTGCATACATACATACTGCATACCGTAAGGTGGGGCTATTTGAGACAGTATTTAAAATTGTTATAAAATAAAAACCGTTTGAAATTTATGCTTAATTTTTGCATAGGCGATTTACCGCTCGATTCCATACCTTCCTAAACAAAAATGTCACATAAAAATCAATCGCTCTCCATTTTATAGCGATTTTAAATACTGTCAAATAGCCCCACTGTCTCAAATAGCCCCACTTTACGGTACATAAAGGTTTATAATATTAGACCATGTGACAGTCAACAACTGGTTAAAAAGCCTTTATACATCATTGTTGATAAGCCAGAGAATGCATCAGACTTTTTCTCTCCTGTAGCATTAAAACTAGTGAAACTGGTTTTCCTCGCGTAAAGAAGAAACTGTAAAGGTTATCAGAACATTTAAGTTTAAATTGCAGGACAAATGACAACACACCAGTGTCAAGGAAGGCAAATCCAAGCAGTTTAAAGGAAATTGGTAGCTTTAGGAGCTGCATCACCGCAAACAAGCGTCACCCTCTCATGACTCCCGTCTGCTGTTGTGCAGGACACAGCCTGGCGGAGCGACAATTTGCACCTGTCGGCGCCGTGCATATACTCGTCCGTGATGGAGAACCTGAGTCTGCAGCCGGGCCACAGCTTCCTCAACATCGGCTCCGGCACTGGCTACGTCAGCACCATGGTCGGACTCATTATCGGTGAGGCCAGAGCTAGCTGCCGTAAGCGCCGAGTTTTAACCTCAGTTTAGCACGGAGTTCTCAACTGTCAATAGTGGCGCCCTGGGCCTAATCGATACAAGCTACCAACATGTCAATGATGTATCGATGCTCACATCGATATCGCTGTTGAAACTGGTTGTTATCGATCTGCTCTGTACTTTCTATTCGCATCATATCGGTGCTAGAATATTTTTCCAAATTGTCAGGGAACTCAGATTTGTTTTTCAATAGAAAATACAATTCTAACGAATACGAGTTTCTCGTAGTGTTTAAACTATTGACAACAAACCTTCGGTTATCGATATGATGCTAGTGGCGATCGTTATGATTGATCCTCGTATTCGTTAGTCGTCTTTCCTGTGCTGCTATTTAGGAGTATTTCTAAGATATTGAAGATCAAGCATGCTAGTTCCGCTGATTAGGGCTACCGTAACCATTTGCTTGAGCACCGTACTGTGAACCCGGACCGTTGCCCACTAATTATTTATTCCCGTTACTTGTTACCTATCTATCCACGGGGCATTGAGCATGGACGCAAAATGATCTGAGTAGTCGGTGCACCCTAAAGCTCTAATAAACAAACAAACGGGGCTAAAAGCGAACTGTATGATCCCATGAGGCCACTGACCTTACCCTATCTACCACAGAGAGCACGGGCGTCAACCATGGGGTGGAGCTCTACCAAGAGGTGATTGACTACGCCCAGGAACGGCTGGCAGAGTTCATCGCCTCGTCGCCGGCCGTGGATCAGTACGACTTCTGTCCGCCTCAGTTTGTGTGCGGTGAGTCGGGGTTGAAGTGGACTGAGTGGGCGACGTCAGATCACGCTTTAATGTGAGACTTAGTGGTTTTAGCGTAATCTGTGGTGGAACGTGATGAAAGGGTGCGAGACTCGTTCAAATAATCACGAGTTGTTTACGAGCGACGTGTCGAGGGTCGCATATAATTGAGCTAATTCGATATTTGCTTAGGGTGCCTGTGCACCATACGGCTGCGTGTGATGATCCCGCCTTTGTTGCTCTCAATGGATACTGACGGCCGCACTTTGGTAACGCAATTCACGATGTTTGTTTTCAGGTAACGGCCTGCTGATCGGGCCCGGTCAGCAGTACGACCGTGTCTACTGCGGGGCGCGCTGTCCGCTGTCGGAACTGGCCTGCCTCAAACAGCTGCTCAAGGTGCGTTCTTCCTTCGGCGTGGTTGCAAAATGACCCTGGCATTCGGCTCCAGTAAATAGTAACGGTCTATATTCCACGTGCACAGAGACTGATGGACGTTACCGGTCGGCGACTGTCAATCATGTCACGTAGTAGGCCCACACATAGACAACGCATTTCAAACTCGCATGATTCTACGCGATACATTCACGTGACTGCACTTTCCCTCTCCTCCTCCCCCCTCGTGACGCCCGGTAGGTAGTGCACGTCGTCACCGTCTTACTCCGTGTGTGATGAAACAAACATCGCCCAGTGCCCGGACTCCCAGCCTCCGACTGGCCCCGGCGTGTGCCTCTCCAGTCGCAGCGTCGGAGGCTATTTTTGTCCGGCAGTGACCGCGTGGCGCCTGCTCCGCTCGCCGGTATCTTTGTTGAGCGAAAAGCTGATGCGACGTTGGTGGCCTTGGACTGGGTAGGAGGGTCACGTTAGGCTTGGAACACGTTTGAGGAGCGTGATGGTTGACCCAGTAGCAGGGTAATCGGAGTTTGTAATGACTTTTTCGTCTGAGCGATAGCTTATTGACGGAGGAAAAATATGACCACCTTTACGCTGGCTAGGAGCTTATTGAAGTGCTCCGACATCCGTTAGCAGTCAGTCTATTCTGGCAGTGAAGATCATTGACTCCTCTATTTGTGCCCAGGCAGGCGGAATAATGGTATACAGGATGCAACATATTTGTACCGGAAAGTTCACTGCGCTCGCTTCTCTGTTGTGTTCAGGTGGGCGGGGTGCTGGTGGTACCGGTCAACGATTACCTGAAGCGAATCGAGCGACTCGGGGAGAACGAATGGGACGTGCAGGACAAGCTGTCCGTCTCCTTCGCCGGGCTGATTGAGCCCAATGTCAGCGGTCACAGCGGCCCGCTCAGCATGCGTGAGTACGACTGGGTTCAGAGGGAGGTCACAGGGAAACAGAGGTCATGTCACCAGGTATAACGGCCCGCTCAGCATGCGTGAGTACGACTGGGGTCAGAGGTCAGTTCTCGGGAACAATCAAAGGCCAGGTCACGGGGACGGGGTCAGGGCACAATGGACAGAGGCCAGGTCACAGGGAAGGAACATCGGTTTCCCTAGAACGTACGAATACGGCGAAGGTCAGAGGGTCATAGGATATCGTGTTCTTTATTGAGTGTGTGTGCTCGTAGGTATCCATCTACGTGGTTTACAGCTATCGATCCTGGTTCCAATGATTATTACTAATAAAATGAAATAATGAATATGAAGTTGTAGATGTGATAATTTTATGTAGATCTCACGCTAGACGCCCAGTGAGTCTCGCTGTGACGGGCGCCCCTGGTCCGGCAGCGCCGCGGGTGCCGGCCCCGCTGCAGCAGCTGTGTCGCACGGCCATCCGCCGTCTGCTGCGCACTCAGCTGCTGGCCGACCAGCCGCCGCCAGCGGCCACAGCGCGCGCCCAGCGCCGGCGCCGGCCCACCAGCGGCCGCGCGGAGGAGGAGCGGCGCATCCGACGGTTCGTGCTGCCGCTGGTGGGCGCCTCGGTCGCCGAGATTCGCAGCTCCGACGGGGAAGGGGAGGAGGAGGAGCGGCGCACCGGGCGTGACCGACGCGACTCGGGACACTCAGAGGAGGCGTTCATGGAGCCGACCGGCGCGTCCGAGGATGATTCGGACGATGAGGAGCAGGAACGGGATGGGCAGCTCCAGGAGCGGCAGGATCGCCGACAGGAGCGGCTAGATCGCCTGCAGAAGCGCGCTGCGGACACAGCCAACTCCCAGCAGAATGAGCAGCAGGAGACGGCCAACCCCCAGCAGGAGCAGGATGCGGTCCCTGGTAACTCCCAGGAGCAGAAGGAGAATATCCCGGCTGCCTCACAAGAGTCTGCCTCTTCGAACTCTGGGCAGCAGAAGCAGACGGAGACGGAGACAGAGACAGGAGACCAGGGAGCGTCTCCCCCAGAAGCAGGAGACAATGCCGTGTCGACGCCGGAGGCCTCTCAGTCTCGCGCCTCCCTGAAACGCTCCAATGATGAGAGTGCTGCCGGCACAGAGGGTGGGCCGACCGCCGGCGCCGGGCCCTGTGAGACTCAGAAGCGCGGTCGGTGCGACCACCTGGACAGTGGCCTGGGCGACTCCCCGCCGCTGCCGCCGCGCGACCACTCGGAACCCGAGAACGGCGTGGCTGCCTCCTCCTCCGACGACGGTGACGATGACGGTGATGATGACGGTGATGACGGTGACGTCAGTGACCGGGAGCGTCCTCGACGGAGACCGGCGCGGTTCATATACGGTCACGTGCCTCCCATGTGGCGACACTCTGCCCAGTCGCGTGCCGAGTTCGCCAACGAAATCAGCCGGTTTCTGGTGGGTTACTCGGATGATGACGACCGGGACGAGCCGGAGCTGGACGGAGACGAGCCGCACCGCGGCCGCTGTCCCATGAGCAGCCGCCGCCGGGCACGGCCCTCGCGACACGCGACTGTCGAGGCCAGTCAGCGCCTGGCAGACCGGATGAGGGAGCGTATCGTGCGTCTCCCTCTGCCGCTCCCGCTGCGCCAGTACGTGAATCTGGACCGGCCGCTGTGAGGGAACCGGACGGTGCTCGACGGAGAAATGTCTGAACTGTGATATATGAGAGTGTAGACAGTCGGGGGACTTCGGCTGGATGCCGGGCGGAGTGCCGATCGAACTGCGTTCAGGTCTGGGTCGGTAAGTGTCCTGAATCGTCGGCTATGGTGATTGAGAGAGATTGTTGGTCGAATGGATGTTAATTGTACACAGAGGATAAAGAAGTACCTACCTGCTAACATACGTAACTTTATTGCAATTTTCTGAAGCTAATGCGACCAACCCAAAATAGTGCTAGATTGGGATAACTTAGTGCATGACCATCTCTTCTCCCATGACAGCCTGGTAGACGCATTGGTTTCAACTTTCAAGCGTTGTGTGTACATCAGCGTTTTCTTACCTTTTGTATCAGTCGCACAGTTAAACAATCCAAACGTTATGCAGTCTCGAAATATTATTGATTTGAGCATGCTAGTGATGGTTCATGGTTGCTTACTCACCAGAAAATGATGTCGGCGACAGGAGTGATACCATGCGGGGATGTCACTTATTGAGAGTTACTTCGTGATTTATTCATAACCATGTGGGCTGTGGTAGATGCTTGCGTACTGGCCCCCTTTTTCAGCAATGTTTGCGCGTGAGTTGTGTGTTTGACCGCGACAGAAAGGCGTTATTTTCGTTCAATAGGCACTGCTTCGTTTCGAAGGAAACTCTCGTCAGGGCTGAAAGTGGATACTGCGCAGAATGTTCTCGCTCGATGCTGATTGGCTGTTGGGCGCCTTGTCTGGTTCGCGATTGGTGTATATTTGGTTGCGAGACCTATGATTGGCAGACTGGTTCACGGTGGTTCTCTGAGTGCCCCTAAAACGGCCCTCTGTGGCGGCGTCAGCACCGCTCGAGGTCAGCGTCCCTCAGCGCCGAGCGTTTGTCTCAGATATTATGTGGGTGCTTTCGGATCTGATAGATTTCGTAGCTCTCTCGCGGCTTATCAGCTGCAACTGTGTATCATCTGCAACTGCTACTTTAGGTAAGTCTGGTAATGCTGATTAGACTGATAACATATGTATCTATCCCTGGTTTGTTTTATTGTATATGAAATATTGGTACCGACTGAAAACCCAGATGTCACTGATATCCACTTAACACCTCTTGCCACCAGCCAGGCTACTCATAGTTGAGTCATTTTGAGGCGGGCTGTTTTCAGACTATGTGATGGCACTTGATTCGCTCTGATAACCTGGCTAAGTCTTAACGTTATGTGATGGTAATCGCCCGGTGTTCGATATGTCGTTTGTTGCAGCACCTATTGCACGGCTTTGTCTATTGCAGGCACGGCTTTGATTGGTTGTGGGCCGTCGAGGTGTCCATTCGAGCTGCGGTGCGCGGTGCGGGCCTCCGTCGCCTTTTTTGTGTGATAACGGACCTCGGCAATGTTCTGTGTGGTTCAGACTCGCCCTGAACCGTGTCAAGGGTGTCTGAGGGGCAGTGGCGATCGCCTCGTTCGAGTTGAACGGGCGGGCTCGGGTGTGTAGACGTTTGCAGTCGCGTGTTGCGGACGGCGCAGCCGTGCAGTGTTGTATAGATATACATATAAAATAATAAACCTGATCAGACCTATTTAGGACTTTCATCCATAGATCTGGGAGCAGTTGATCCACACCTATCAGAGCTGGCGCCATCTCACGGACAGCTTCAGTATGGCAGTCTCAAACGCGGCCAATAGGCGCTAGTTGGTTTATTCCGACGCCAGTAGAGGGCGCAGCACAATATAGGCAGGTTAGCGAGCACATTCTTCACTCACTCTCAGTCCGCAGTTTCGGCCGCGGACCGCCTCATCACATGAAGAGCCTATGTACACGGGGCGGGACGGCGGCGGCGCCCCCGACGGCCCGGGCAGTCAGTAGAAAACTATGAGTGGGCCGGCGGCCTGCGCAGGCGCGCCATTAGTGAATTACGCGCGCCGACGGCCGGCCTCGCCCTGTCTTTGTGCCGCCCGCCGGCCGCCTCGAGCTCTACGTGGCACTATCCATTAAATACAGCTACCTGTGATGGCGTATGGCAACAAGGACGATCGGGCCGGCGAGTGGCCCGCGCGCAGACAAGCTCCAGAGCGCGACACGGCGCAGGCTCTCTCTCTCTCTCTCTCTCTCTCTCTCTCTCTCTCTCTCTCTCTCTCTCTCTCTCTCTCTCTCTCTCTCTCTCTCTCTCTCTCTCTCTCTCTCTCTCTCTCTCTCTCTCCTCTCTCACACACACAAACTCTCACTCTCCACTCTTTCTCACCCAGTTTCCAATTTCATCCCGTTTCTTTGGGCGCACATTGCGTGTTACCGCGGATCGCACGATGGCACGGCGCCTCCAGTTGCGTCATCAGTCCACCGATGACGTCACAGCATGTTACGCGCGCCGCCGTACGAGCCGGCCATCATGACGTTGGTGACGAAGTTGACGATGGCGGAGGCCGGCTGGTCGGCGTCGTACTCGGCGAACAAGTGGCACTGGTTGTTGCCACTGGACGGACCCTTCTTGGCCACGAACCCGAATATCCGCCTGTGGGCGCAGAGGGGCGGGACGGGACAGTGTCAGAAACGGCAGCATGACAGCGGGGTGGTGTCAAAGAGGGTAGCACCGGAATAGGATGATTGAATATCGTTCAGTCTCGATAGAATAGCCATTAACATTATCATCTAGCTGACGACGTGGTCTGATAATCGTTATTGAGTCGCGAGCGCTGGTGCCTTGTGGAAAAATTGATACATACTATAAATAAGGTAAAAATGAGACTTTTATGCACTAGTTCATGCTAAAAGATAAACTACCGGCACTTTGTTTCTGATGCTCAAAGATCATCCATTCAGCTCCATTGTTACACGGACTCTCGGCCGATCGGACCGCGGTAGTTGCCGCTCCCGCCGCCACGCGGCGCTGCCGTCGCCACTCACAGGGATCCCACGGGGTGTCCGTCGTCACCGCGCTGGGTCCAGCGCCGGTCCTCCGGATCCAGACTGCAGTGGGACACCAGGGCCGTGTTGTAGTGCCGCCTGCCGGGGAAAGGGAGGAGGCCGTCAGACATCGCTCGCACAGGTGGAGAGCAAACTCCATTGCTGAGGTGGCCTTGGAGCTCATGTTGACCGGTTCATGATTCAACAAGACTACCGACCATCGCCAAGCTGTCTCATACGGATCGGCTCGGACCAACGACTGTCCCTCATATACGGGCTGACTCAGTCTCACATACAGGTAGACTCCTGCCACTCTGACCGTAGTGCCTGGTGCCTCCTATGTCCACGGATCGATTCTCAGTCTCACCTACTATCTACACTAACTCTCCGTTTCTCACCTGAAGAACTGTTTGCGGAGGCTGTCGGTGAGCGTGATGCCCTGGTGGGAGACCTTGAAGTGCACCACGACGCCCTCGGGCAGCGGCTGCTTCTTCAGCAGCTCGGTGGTGGCTCGGCGCACTGCCTGCGGGCCCGTCAGTGCCTCCGTGTCGCACGACCAGAGGTACAGAACGCTGCAGGCTGGAAAACAGAGGGCAAAGAACAAGAGTCAGCAACGACCAGAGGTACAGAACGCTGCAGGCTGGAAAACAGAGAATACGGGGTCAGCAGGGAACGGGGAAGGGTGAGCAGCCAGCACAGGTAGCGCACACTGCAGGCGGGAATACAGAGGAAAGGATGACTCGTGAGTCGTGACCACCGAGTAGCGACCACAGGTTCGGGAGAATGTAAGCTGAAACATGGAGAAAAGGAGTATGGGCATTGGGCAGCCAACAGTTACGGCATGTAAGACGCAGACGCTGCAGCCTGGAGTAAAGATAGAGCAGGGGTGAGCACTGGGCAGCCGTCGCAGGTAGAATACCGGAACAGGACACTGGAGCACACGGACCATGGGTGGGCACCGATCACTCTAACAATGCCTCCTTGCCACTCCCTTGACCCTCTCCCTCCCCCACAGGCCACGCTCCTCCCCACCTCCTGTCCCCTCCCAACTGCATCTCCCCTCCCCCTACTGACCAGCGCCGGTGTCGAGGAGCGCGCGGTGTTTCTGCTGCGCCGCCGCCGGTGCCGAGTCCACAGCGTCCTCCATGCCCAGGTCCGCCTCCGGCAGTGTCAGCTTGCACGGCAGGTCCAGCTGGGTGATGCTGTGCTGGTACACCAGCGCCGAGAGCGAGCCAAACGTCGGCTCGTTCGGACATCCCTTCAGGCGCACGCCCTTGTTGGTGGTTTCGATGAGGAAGTGTCGCACCAGCTCGCTAGCAGGGTCGCCGCCGCGCGAGGGCGCGCTGGCGGGCGGAGACTCTACCTTGAGCGCCAGACCGAACGCGCCCGGGAACGAGTTGGAGTCGCGGATGATGAAAGAGCCAGGCGCCTTGTCCCGCAGAAGGGAGATGGCTGTGGGAGGGAGGTCAGGTCAGGTCAGTCGTGAGGTTTGGTGACATTCGATCGCCTATCTTCGTAACTGCCCTTACAGGGAAGATTGTCCATGAGTTGACAAAGCGGTTACAAGATTGGTTACTATCCTATCCAAAAATACAAATTGACGCAACTTCTATGTACTGATGATGCTTACAAACAAGCTACTGATGTGGGTGTCATATTCCTGAAGTTCGTAAACCTCTCGTACCTAACCGTTCTCGTGCGCACCCTGCGGGATGACTATTTGACCCGTGACCGCATCTCTGTCTTCTGGGTTCTAGTCCGCTCCTGTGTGCACCCCCTGGATACACCCCCCCCCCCCCTAACCCGTATCCCTGCCATCCCTTCACGTACCCTGTTCTCTGCTGATGGACGGCTTGTACCACCATCGGCTGTTGTCGCGCACGAAGGTCGGATGAGCCGAGATGACCTCCGTGTCGGAGCTGACCGACGACTGGCGACTGCGACCAAGGCCGCCCGGCGGCGACGACTCGAGCGCGGCCGACTGCTCAAAGTGCACCTGGTGCACTCCGGGCGACGGCGAGCGCTCCCTGCACGAGAGGGGAGAGGGTTAGAGAGGGGTGGCTGTGGGGAGGGGAGGGGGCTGAGTGGCAGAGATGGGAGGCTGCCGCAGCTTGGAACGGCCAGTGATCAGCTTCGCAAAACAGCGCTTTTGAAAACAGAACTGGACGTTAGCGAAGAAATGCAGAAGTGGCAAGCACTCCTTGCAATAGGTACTCGAAATAATGCTTTGATGATCATTTGGCTTTACATTTCCGTCAAAGTTATAAACCTAAAGAAGAAACTTAAATCCACACAGCTTCAAAACAAGTTCTCACTGATCTTTTATCATATTTTTAATGACAAAGGGCCTAGACTACGGGCTACTGACCGGATCAGCGTTCTTAGGGAACAACTGCACCTTGGTATCTGCTCACAAGTCGGCTTAATACTTCCTCAACGGCCAACACGTCACAACATTGTATTGGGTATCGACAAAATAAAACTAAAGAGAGACCACTCAACAGAAACCGAGGACATGTAGCACATAGAGAAAATGTCATCAGCTTGCCAGAACGGAGCAACAGAACATAAAATCACCGCTATAAGGTAGGCAACCAATAAAGTCATCTCATGCCTCGCAAATAGCTTCACATTTCAACGGAAGAGTGCACGACCATGCATTATTCCGAAGTTGTGGACCTAAGCAATCTGGTGCAACAGTGGAATGAAACACTCGTGCAGACTGAATAGTTCATCCATGCGTGTAGGGGCAGGTCGGGCAGGGAAAGGGTGTCATGTCAAATGTGTACTAACTGTGCCTCTATTTAGACCCGGCGGCTGCCGCACTGCACCTGACACAGCGTCAGACACTGTACCGCTCCGCTCCTCTGTCAGAGGCGGTACTGACAGCAGCCGCCGGGCGGACAGGCCGTGCATTTAGAGACGCGTGCAGGTGGCGCCACCTACGTACCTGGCCGGCCCCGGCACCTGATAGGGCGTTCGTGTGTACGTTTTAGTCGTCTGGGTGACCGTCAGCAGTTTTCTACAGAGGGGAACACAACAGTCTGCGTTCAGAGTCCGCACCACAGCAGAGCGAACGGCAAATTATAGTTCAGTGGGCTCTGGTGAAGCCCCAGTCATACGTGTAAGTTGCTGAAGCCGGTTTTATTTGGCGTTATTGATGAGCATTAGCCAAGTTTGTTAATCTAGCAAAAATAGAAGCGCAAGAGTGGGCATTGGGCAATTGTGTGAATGAAATCAACGTCTAAATTGCTTGACGGTTGCTCATCAGGTTTGAATAAGTTGCGGAAATGAAAGTCAAAGTAAGGGGACGATGAAAGAAATTCTGATAAATTCTTGGTTAGATTAGTCAAGCGTTAGATGGTTAAAAATTGTTACAAGCAAAAGCAATATTCATTGAAAAGGAGTTACTAAGTATTCAAAATTACAGTGCGGCGATCTCATATGAACAACATTTCATGGTAATGCAAAATGACATTACTGGTAAAAACGCTTATTTGCAGTATCCTACCCCATATGAGTTTAGCCGGAACGGCCCTGATGGTAGACTAGGACAGCCTACAATTCCTAGCGACAACCAGAACCGTCCTCTGTCCCGCAGCTCGTCCTCTGAGTGACGACATAACAGCACCCAACCCCATCTGTAAGAATCTTGCCCCAACCCTACCCAGTCACTCACCGCTGGCTGGTGGGGCTCTTGGGCGGCAGCGTCTGCGACTGGTCCTGGTAGGGCGTTCTCGGCGGGTTCGGGAACGCCGGCGTCTCCGGTCTCGGCTCAGATGGGTCCCTCACCTGCACGGAGAAAACGGTCAGGCCAAGTGTAGGTAAACATTACACAGTGTTGAACAACCCGTCACCTACCACTGCAAGGTCCTCGCTCAGCGAGGGTAATACAAGGGGATAGGTAGCTTCGGGGGAAACAAAAAGAAGCAGAGCTAGCTGACGCAGGAACCATCAACCAAGGCACTCAATCTGGGGTCATCAGTGACATTAAACATATGAGTGTTGCCACGGGGATGTTATAAATGGAGAGAACATTAGTTGTGAGCCGTTATGACAGGGCCATTATACCATGAGGGATCACTAATCAGCACATCAGCCATATCATGCTCCTTCTCATTATTCGTTAGTGTCCGACATGTTACCCCTCACGGGAGGCACTGCATATTCACCCTCCGTCCCTCGTCATAAGGATGTATAAATCACAGTCACTAGAGTAGCGCTTACTTGGGAGCGCCGCCAAGCCGGTACAAGCGGCGCGTGCAAGCCCGTCCCGGATATTTACATTGAGGCCGCCCCGTAGCTACTCACTAGCGCGGGACACACGTGCTTTGACACACATTGAGTTAACTCTGCTATCCCACACATGCTGGCCCCATTAGCCGGCGTTATAGCTTCTCACCTGATGTGTGCGAGGGTTGCGTAAATTAACGACCTTCAACCGGTATGTTAGTTCTTCTAATTTAGTCAGCTGCAAATAGACAGCGGGCGAGCATGCAGTTTAATGACCGAGTTTCAGGTCAGGCAGCCAAACGCTGCGGGCGGCCGGAGCTAGGCAGCGAACTGGCCAGGTTAGCAGCGAGCGTGGTTAGCCGGCAGCGGCAGTGGGCGGCAACACAGTGGTCGGTAGCACACTGAGCGGGCACACACCGTCAGTCAGTCCACAGGGGTGTGAGGAAGGAAGCAAGGTAGGTGGGCCATGCTCACAGGATGTTACAACCGGAAAGCATGCGTGTTAACCGTGGATTCAAGGATTACAAATCCGTCACAGGTGCACAGGGCTACAGGTGTAAAGGAAGTGAGCAACAAATGTGATAGGTATGATGTGAATCAAATTGACGGGCACAGGTAGAGGGGTCGTGAGGGTAACCCACTACCAAAAATCACGGCATACTGTCACAAACTTTCCAAAACTAATTAGGGGATCGTCTCATAAGATCAACACTACAAACACAAAAACACGACGAACTCGATCATCCATCCAAAAATATACCAAAACATCACTCTGCCACAAAACCATTCAACACCAAAAAACTACCACACGAAAACCACAAAAAACGGGACACCTCTCGACCACCTCGTCCCACAGCTCCGGCTGCTGGTCCCGCACGGCACCGCCAGGTCACTGGGTCACTGCACTGCGGGTCACTGCATCGTGCACAGTCGGCGGGGCGGTCACGCCTTACCCAGCGGCCGCTGCCCGTGTAGTGCCACGGACTCTCGGCACGGTCCTCGGGCCACACCAGGGCGTCAATCTCGTCCTCCGGCTGTCGGGAGCGCTCGGGTTACCGGGGATTTGTCGTTGAAAGTTGAAACGGGTCGAATCGTTTAGTAGACGGATAAGCTGATGTTTCTGGGAGTTATTACTCTTAATTACGGAAACATTGCGGTTTAGAGTTTTGCGCGAGTCAGACGTCACTTTTGGAAGTGATTGGTAGACCGTCACGTGACAAATAGAAACATAGTTTTTACAGATCATACATAACACTCGATACAGCTAGCAAATCGTTGTATAATTTTCATTTTTACAGATTTAAAGCAAAAAGTACGATTTCTCCGAGCGGCAAGAAGGCAATTTCTAAGCGGCCTTGTATTGCTGAAGAAGTCTCTGGGTTAAGTTTTAAAGTGCTGCCGATCTTTCGAGATAACGTACCGACGGCTGGATATCCAGCGCGAACCGCACTGACGGTTTTCCTGCGCGGTTTCTCATCACGTTTCCTATACCTCCACGGGGCACCTCGACTTCTAACTCACGCTTTCACAAGTACGGTCTCACATAAAATGACCTGCACCGAGCGGGTTACACTTGCAGAACTCTAGATACCACTATACACCGGGATGAGGGTGATTTTGAGGCAGATTAGCGCGCGCACGCACACAGTTCCGACTCCATACACAGCCGGCACGGATCGGGTCAGGAGACCCCCTGTGTGCCTCCGACCCGTCGCCAGTCGCAGGGACCACTGCCTGCCATCGCCGCCAGGACTCAGAGGGAACCGGTGCCAGGTGCGACGACGCACACACCGACGCCGCCCCGACTGTCAGGAGCGCCCGGAGTGAGGCGGGCCAGACGGTCCACCAGGTGACAGTGCTATGTCACATAACCGTTCTGTCACATCTGGCAGCGACCGGACTTCAGAGGACAGGTGGTAGTCACTAGCTATCTTATGTAGGATCGCAAGTGACAGGTCTAATGGAGATCGATGAAGTGAAGGATTTGCCAGGATGTGCTCCGACGAAGGCGATGAGTTAGAGGTTTGGCAGGTCTGCGGGTTGATGAGAGCGGTCCAAGATCCACCCACCGGTCTGGCGTGGTGTGCGACGGCGACCACGGGAGGATCTACTCCGGCCGACAGACTGACAGATGGACCGATAACCGTTCCGCCCATCGACACTGGCACTCCACGCCGGGTCATAACGAACCGTAACGGCCACTGGCACGTCAATAAAGACTTGGCATCGACACATCAGTCGACAACATCGCTCACCACAAAACATTCCATTCCAACACCACTTTCGATTCTCAACATCACTCAACTACGCAAACACTCATTCACCATCACACAGTCATACACCGGGCCTACACACAGCCAGCGAAGCAAAAGCGTGTCCTAAAACCAGATCCGTGCGCCGTGAATCCCACACTTTACATAAAAGCAGTGACAGCCTCAGAGCTCTAGTGCGTTTTTCTACAACACAGCTTAGGAAGATAGGCAATAGATAGTCAACTTACACCACTTTGGCCATTCACGGTGGTGAGAAGACCTTCTCGATCGCGAACGGGGGTGGAGGAGTACTGGCTGTACTGAGTCGTCTTCGTTAGGTGCTGCAGGCAAACAAACGACAAGCGAACGCGCTCATTGGGGGGGCAGGACAACACTGAGGCAACTAAAGAAAAATAGCTAGGCGGGAGAAAATAATAATGCATCAACTAAACTAACTAAGCAGTCGTCTAACTGAAATTTATCCGATGACATAGTAGGGGAAAACAAAATGTTAGGCAAAGTTAAAACTTTTATGAAAGGATGACGGCGCGCTAAATAAAAATGAATAGCTGGTAAAGCAGCGATAGTTACGCATAAAACAACACACTGGTTTTACGATTAAAAACGACGACATTTTAAAAGCTCAAATAAATCACAACACAGTGGCAGCGTTACGAAAGCGAGGAACAATCCACGAAACTGCACGTCTAAAACTATTATTGGCAAGCCTGGAAATACAACACACGAAGTGGTTGTCACGTCTTCGTTGCCATTCATCGACATAATTCACCCCTTGTGGCATGGTTGACTCTGTAACACCCACGAGTCATGACTTTGACTCGCCAGCATCCGTTAATGATGACTCACCGTCAGGTCAGAGTCGCTGATTTTTCTCTGATCGCCCCTGAGCACCTGCACGTGGGGTCTCTGTCGGTCGTAGGCGGTCTCGGAGCGGTGCCTGGCCAGTGGCCGCTGCACGCTCCCGTACTGGTTACTCCTGGATCGACACAAAGAGAGACACATAGGGGCTGTTAGGGCTGCATACTCCCGTACTGGTTACTGTTGTATGGACGCAAGGGAGACACACAGCCCACAGGGACTGTCAGGGAGGGATGAGAGGTGCTGTTGTTAGTACATGTCAACGTGCGCTTTTACATAGTCTGACATAACTAACATACATAAACGGCATAAACAACGGTGATGTAAGAAAAAATAGCGTTGCCTCAAAGGCAATGGTGTTGAGGTAACTTTGTAGCTTGGTGTCACTGGTCTCTCGTTTGGCCCTGTAGCCGACAGTGTTCGTCAATATTTGTCTTGCAGAAACTGTGTCCCGTTCAAAGCCTCACCACCCATCTCTGTTACGCCAGCCGCCTGATTGGAACGCTCTGTGTCGCCGGCGGATATAGCTGCTCATCAAGGCACCGGGAAATCATCCCCCAGTCCCCACACCCACCCAGTCTGAAAACATCCCGGCCCCTACCGTTTGACCTCCGCACCGAGCCAATTCAAACAGCGCCGGTCTGTACGGGGCAGCACATCAGTCACAGAGCCAGAGAAAACACGCAGGAGGTGGACCGTGGGCGGCGGCGGTAGGGCAGAGGTGAGGCGGCAACGCGCTAACGAAACACGTCTGAGACAAATAAAGCGCCGACCGATAGCAGAGCTACTAATTATTTTAATCCTTCCCTGTTCCTTTTCCCACTTTTCTTTTACAACCATCTCCTGTCTATGCCCATCGAGCCATTAAGCCCTAACTTTTGAGAAAAAAAAAACTCTCCTTCCATTCCGATCTTTGCCACTCTCTCCTTAGTCTCTCTCTAATTCTTCCCGTTCCCCTCACTCTCCCTCTCCCTCTCCCTCTCTCCCTTCCACTCACCTAAAGGAGCTCGCCGTGCTCCGTTCGCGGCTGACACTGCGCGCGGCCAGCTGCGGCGATACCGGCGCAGAGCTGCCCGTCTTGACGCCGCTCGTGTTGACGTGCAGCGGCGCCATGTGCGCCGGACTCGTCTCACGCGAGGTGTCCGTCCAGAGGGTGGTGTCCGACGTGTAACCGTCCTCTAGACCGCCCTGCCGCTGACGCAGCTCGTGCAGAACACGCGCCTCCTTCGGCTCACGCTCACTCCTGAGGTAAGGACAGCGAGCCGTTAGATGCGTACTGAGGCAGGGAAAGCGAGCGGTTAGCTGGGTATTGAGTCAGGAGGCGAGAACAAGGAGGGATCAGACAATGTCCTGTATTTTGTTATGCAACAATCTTAGCTTTGTATCGCCAGTTTTAATCGCTAGATAAGATGACATTGGTTCTGTAGCCCTAGCCCACCTGCAGCTATACTGTGCCACAAAAGTCCAAAATTCTACCGCTAGATGGCATTAGTGTGCGCGCCTGTTGCTATGCTGCACCGCAGAACAGCCCTATAAATCCATCGCTAGATGGCATTAGTGTCAGCGCCTGCAGTTATGCTGTGCCGCACCACTCCAAAAGTCCCGCTAGATGGCATTAGTGTCTGCGCCTGCAGCTATACTGTGCCGCAATTGCTGTAGCCTACAACTTGAAGGATGATGTGAATCAGCTGATAAAAGCAGCATGCAAGGAAAAGCAAACACGACAGGGAAACAACTTGCTAAACCGGTCATGTCGCGGAAAAATGGTGACGTCAGGCTAAGACCCGACTGTTTCCGTCATAATCAAGCTATTTACTGGTTTTCAATAGTGCTAAGGGTACGTATGTAAATAATTTCAAAGAAAGCTTTTGACGTCACTAACATGGTCTTTGTTTAGCCGTGCGCCAGAAGGCACACATTTGCCCACACACTATTGACCCACCTGATGCGCGCCTGTTGCCGATCCCGCAGCTTCTGCTGCTGCTTCTGTAGCCAGGTGATGTTGCCGGCCGAACCAGGTCCGTCCCTGTCAACACAGACGCATGTACGTAAAGACGCGATCATCATCAGCCGTCACCGAAGGAAAATGTTAATGAAGGCTTCAGCTCTTGTCCCTAGCATTCAACAAATCATATGCAGTTGTTACGGCATTTTCAAGGCCAAATAATACACGCAATATCTTTCACAAACTACAGCATCATATAAAAATACGCAATGCAAATTTTCACGATCAATGTACAATTTCAATTATAAATGCGACAACAAAGCAGACGTAACGAATGACAAATAAAGAAAGACAATGACAGCTTACTCCATCATTCAGGCAAGGAATATTTTTGACAAGCACATACGACACAACTAACAGCACACAGCACACACAACACAAACAATATGAAAGCATTGTATGTTTAACACTGCAGACAACCGCTTGACGCACTCGGCCTAGAAATGAAAATACCACCAGCACAAAACTCCGTCTTACCAGCAGCGGATCATGTCTGCACCTCACGTAGCTACGCCCTTCCCCTACCAAACTCCACAAACCACACAGAGAACCCCCGAGTCCAGACTGGGCCCGCTCAGAGCACAGGGAAACACTGACTGCCTGGCTGAGCCCGGCCCGGGCTACCGACCGAGCCACCGAGCCGGCTCGAGGCCCAGCGACCTCCAGAAATAGCGGGCCCAGCCACACAATCCCCTCCGAGCGGGCAAGTTTGGCCCGTACGGACCAATAGCGGTGGCGGTACCCTTCCCAAACTAACCGCACGATAGAGTTAGGGATGGGATGAAACAATTTTAAGGTCGGATAAGGACCGTTTTAATCTAAACCATATATCGAGAAGATGCAGAATCATACTCAAATTCGCAATTGGGTAGATTCCAATAAAACGTATTTATCATTTTCTCATTTTTCAAACAAAATATTCCAACTTCTTCAGGTAGTGTAATTGGGAATCGATGTGCCAGTAAGTTCTAATCTGGTGCTGCCGTAGCATATCAACGCGATTTGGCCGGCGACCACCCAGGAAAAACGGTCGAGGCGAGCTCAAGGCGGCGTCGACTTTCAGTAAACGTGCGGCGCGCTGTTTGGAGGAAGAACGGATGTGTGGCGGGGCTGCCAAATGGCTCGGACATGAGTCATAGGTGACTGACAGGCCCGCCAGACGAGGAAAAGTGACAGCTCCACATCGAACGCGCCTGCAAAGAGTGAAATAAATAATTTATCATACATATTTGCTACGGTGCAGGAGCCGCTAAATGATGCGGCGTCCTGTGCAGGAAGCTGATATTTGTCACCCTAAATTAGGCGCTGTCAGGTGATTATGTCAGAGCAGAAAATATACATACACCATCTGTTTCAGAAGACAACCTAACGATTAGAGGAGGTCCTAAAATCCCTGACTGCGACTATGATGGGCAGCACGTCAGCTTCAAATACAACAATAACACACAATGCTGTGTAACGTTTCTTTACTGATATCAATTGAAGTTTTTCTTCAATTGAACGCATTGAATAAGTTCCATTGACGAGGGGTTGAGCCGTTTTGAGGTTTCACTGAAACTAAGGGGACCGTGTTGAGTCGACCTGATTGAATCATTCAATCAGGTCGACTCGACTATTTGAATGTAAGTAGTTCCTTGTGATTTCTATTTTTGATTAGGTGAGTCTGGATGTCAGCATGCGTCACTAGGTTCAGCTCAGTATACATAGTGACGGCTTAGGAAGGTCGTAGCAATGAATGCCTTACCGGACAACAGCAGCAAGGTTGTAGGATAGTAAACCGTGTACGGCGTCACCCCAAACAAACCTGTGTGCTTACAACTGGGGAAACACATCCCAGTAAACACCACATTGTTCGGACAGGAACGTAACAGAGCCACTCTGTCCTCAGTACAATGCGGCCACGACCTGTAATGAACAATTCACTTCATGTGTGCAAACACGCCTGACATCTGCTGGCAGTTAGCAGTGACACAAATTGCCGTCCCTCTTACATTCCAAGCGCGGCGCTGTCTTCGCACGCTAATGATGGTGTTTGCAGAATGCAGAGCTCTGAGAGCTCGGCAAGTTATTGACGAGTGGTAGCGGCCAGGCGATGTGCAGCCTGCTTTACATAGTTAGTCGGCAGTAGTGGCCTTGGCACATGCGGTCCTCCATTGATGATGCATGGCGCAGCCGTCGCCGTGCGTACAGGTGCGGGTGACCTGGTGAGCGGCTGCTGCCAATGGGTGACAGCTGATGACAGCTCTTCTGACAGGTGAGATGATAAGTAAAGCCAAGCATCGAGCTCAGAACAGTGCCAGTCTCAATTATGTGTGAATCGTAATGATACTTGTGGAAGGATTGTGGGCTTCAAGACATCTTACACTAGCATAATCGTAAGTGCTGTTCAGATAAGATAAAATGCTGTGAGAAAGACGCTATCATTTTGCAAATATGCAAAATTTAATCAATTATCTAATCCCTGTTGTCTGGGTCAATGTGGCAGCGACCAGTTATCCCCTGGGTCTGAGTCACCGTGAAACTAGTCAGAGTTATCCTGTCGGTCTGAATCACCAGCCGCCGACTGGACCGGGCGGCAGACAGACTCTCCAACTGACTCAGTTGGCTGGAGTAGAGCCAGACAGTGCCGGACGTCAATGCTGCTCGGGTTGTGACCCCTAGCAGTTGCCACTTCAGACGCCAACTAGCGGCGCACTTTGAACCGAAGCCAGCATCAAGCCGCCTGACAACTGGGTTTATTTGAGCGGAGATGTTAACAGCGGAGCATCAATGTTATTCAAAGGAGTCGTTTCCGTCTGATGTTTTAGCGTATATCCTCGTAAACGAACGGTAATCGCGTTGCTTTACGCCGGTTGATTTAAAATCCACGTGCAATCAAGTCACATAAATGGAATCTTTTCCACGAAAAATTTGACAGAAGTTCATAAAACGCGTCGACAGTGGTGCAATTGAAACTGATACTGTTTTTCGCTAAATACACCGACTACTTTATTTCAAATTATATATTTTTAATTTCATTAGCCCGAAACTCGGCATAAAACCTGTTAGAGCCCCACTTGTTCCACTGAGGCCCGATCCGGCACCTCCATTCGACAGGTCGGTGACCGGAGCTGCGCCACGTCCGCCTCGCCGCGCAAGGTCCGCCGCAGCGACTGACAGAGTGGGCGCCGCGCCAGCCGCCGCCACTTGTTTTGTGTCCGGACTGAATATAAATAGGCCGCCCACGTTCGTCCGCGAGCGTGGTCGCCAACAGTTCAGGCCACCAACGAAAACAGCGGCCGAAGGTCAGGGCGGCGCAGTGGCGGACCAGGTGTGACCCGACACCCACGCGCGTCCAGTGCCGCGCTCGCGATAAGCCCTGACCTGACGTCCGACCTTGATAGGCTACTTCCGGGGTAAACTGAGATTCGATCCGAGTCGATGAGGTTGGTAAAGCGACACCAGCGTGACACCACGGTGCTGTGTGCGATAACGTTGTTATCGCGAATGGGCATGAAGGTGAGAGTAGCGCTATAAAAGCAGGCTCACGCACCGCTCCTGCATCGCTCCTGCATCCGCCTCTGCGCGTCGACAGGTACCGGTGCCAGACCAGGCGCCGCACCTGTCAGCCGGCCCTTCTCCGGCCCTGTCTGAGCTCCCGAGCCATCCGTCAGAGCCGGGTGCGTCGGCGCCGACGCGGTGTGACCGACGACCTGTCCGGCACGGCGCCAGGCCGAGACGACCGCTGCGGGGGCGCCGGCCGACAGGGGAATGGCGGTGGGCCCGCCCCCTCGTTCGTTCGCGGCCCGCCCACCGGGAGCGAAATGCAGCCTGGCATATCTCAACAAGCTGGGAGGGAGGATCCCAACCGCCGCCGCAGCGCACTGACCTGTTTTTCCGTCAGCACTGGGTATAAAGTCAGCGCTCCACCGTTCCCCAGTGAATGACTGGAGGTGACAACTCCCCTCTCTGCTCGGCTTCATTCACCGCTGCAGTCCTCCTTTGCATATGTCCAGCATTGCAACATTCTAATGCTGACCGCCCACCCAGCTATAGTGCTGCATCCGCAACTGAATGAGGACGTGGGTGAGACAGGGACAGCTGAGGACGATTGGGGACGATTGAGGACACTCTCAGAGCACCGAGGACAGTTCTGAAACAAATACGGTCTCTCGCGGTGGGCGGCGGCTTGCCAACACCGCCCGCCCCCTCCGGAACTGCAGCCGACACCAGTCGGCGCATCGTGGGCGAGGTGGCGCCGCTGAGGCACCAAGGTCGAGTGGGAACAGCCCACGCGCTAAACACAGAGAACTGAAGCACGGTGACCGGACGGCACCGGACCACTCGCGCTGCCTGCTGTGCCCTGGTGGAGGCTGACCGTCCCTTCTTCTATCCTCTAGGGTCTCGTTAAAATACCGCCATCACCATCTCGACACGATGCGGCGGCCAAACGACCTTGCTTTCCGTCAGGTGACATGATGACGTCAGAATGACGTCAGTGGTGTGGAGAGAGAAGCAGAGCTGCCGTGGGAGGATGCGTGTGCGTCTCTGGCGAGCCAGCAGGTGTGAAGAGACTGGCCAGAATTGGAACGACCTTGGAGGGTTGGCAGGTGTCAGGGTCAGGTTTGACTTGGGGCAGGCGTCGGCATGAGCTGGCGTTCGTTCAGGAGCTGGGAGGCGGGAGCCAAACGTAAGGAATCAGGAGAGAGCCAGAAATCGGCAATCAGGAGTCAGGAGTGCACTATATCTTGAATCACGTCTAACGACTATGAGCATTGGATAACTTTTCCAAATCGGGTGACCAGTAATCATGACTTACTGAATGCATCGCAAAATTTGCATAGAGAGCTCGCTATTCCCAAATAGGTGCTTCGGATGCCGACATTCCCGAGTTCTTGCATTCGCCCACGCAGCGAGCCATTGCTGATACAGGCCAAGGGTCTGCGGGGGAGAACAATGGAGGAGGATTCAGGTCACGGCTCGAAGGCCATCAGTCGGTCTTTTTCTGCCCAATCGAGGAATCAGTGCAATAATCCTCAGTCTCACTGCAGTTCCACAGAAGCTGGTGCACCCACTGATCCTTCCGTCTCCTCCGTCTGACAGCGGGCCGGCGCCGTGTCTGCCCGGGGGCACCTGTGCCGCCCGGCCGGCGCCGCGGTGCGATCAGATTGGGATGGACGGACAGCCAACAGACGGTCACGGACATCCTGAAGGTCACACGACGGAGGAGCGAGACTGGCGGAAGGAGACGCACTCCTCACCGCCCGCCCGTCCGCCCGGCCAGTCAGACTCACCCAGTCAGATAAATGGATTCTGCGTGTAGTGAGTGTCGTCGAGCAGTGTTCAACACGACTGCGGTGATGATGCCGAGATTTGGTTAGTTCTCTAACCGGTTCACGCCGTCCCACAGTCGGCTGTTTTTCAGACGCATTGTCATTCATTGAAGGATAAATTGTCGCATTGAAAGCGATGCTGTTGAATGAAAAGGAAAGAAAGGTGGAACAGTCTATTGTGCCGTTCTTTTGCAATGACAGCCACACACCACTCAATGCCGGGCTATCTAAAGCACATACGACTTTTGTTTTACCACCAGGCATAACAACAAGGGCGTTGTTACGACCGGATGCCTTCATCTCCCCCCGTCAAACCTATGACATCATTGGCTTCCAGCGGCGCTGACATCACCCTGCAGCACCGCAATAACCGTCTCGCTATGACGTGATGCGCCCCACTTTGTTCCGTCCGTCGACGACAGGCCGTCGGCGCCGCATCTCGTCGGAACAGGCCGTCGGCACCGTATCGCGAACAGCCGTCACCGTGCTTCATCATATCTCCCTTCACGATGTAACGGAAATCTCCCCTCCATCTCCACCCGCACCCTCCAGCGGCAGCGGTGACGATTCCAGTCCACTGAGGCACGTCCGGTCGTCACGGCACCTTGTGACGTCATTGGAGGACCACAATGACGTCACTGGGGTACGAGATCGAATGCCGTATAGGGTAAGGCGGCGCAGCGGGGCAGTCAGGTCAGTAGGGAGAATGTTAGTGAGGCACCGACGGGGGAGTGAATTCCAGCGCGACTTGACAAGGTCGCCAGTTGACGGAGCCAGCTGATGGCAGATTGAGGTGCCATATTACCATACATGGCTACCATATAAGATCGCCCAAACGTCATATGTGAGGACATTTTGTACACTCATCTATGAGAGCGGTTGTTATCTTTATAGTTGTTGTTATCTAAAACAACTACTCTCTATAGTGGTTGTTTTAGACTGTTTTGTCATTAGTCGGTGAGGAGAAAGGCAGAGCGCGGCTCTAGTCGGACGGACGGACGGACGGACGGACGGCACTTACCTTCGAAATACGTTGGAAGGCCGCGTAATTGAACACTGTTACCGAGACAAATTGTGATGACCGGAACAAATGGTAACTACGGGGAGTGTGTAACTCTGTGAAACACCTGACAAGTAGGTGTGTACAAATCTTAAACGAATTGGAGCATAGGCAACGTTTGCGGTGTAAAGGGGAGAGGCAGTCAAGACATTTTATAAAAAAGTAGTATCTTCAATAAAATAAAACGTTCATTGATGAATTAAACGTTTATACAAATACGGGTGATCTAATTTACCTACAACTGAAAGCAAATAAAGCTAATTCAATCTCTAGATGTTTTCCAGACTCCAAGTAAGTTGCTGTTCAGACTGAAATCGTGCCATAAGTAAATAAATAAATAATATATCTAATAAATATCTAATCTCTCGTCTTTACGACTCAGTTTACCGAAGGACGGTGGCCGAGGGGAGTGAGCTAATTCATAATTTAGTAACGCTTATGAAACATTACAATGGTCATGCACCGCGTCAGGGGAATGAAAGGTCAACACGGAACACCCGAACAAAAGAGCCAGAAACATAAACAAACAACTAGAACAGACAAAGTACAAGCACCAGACTAAATAATCTTACAGCAGGCACACATTGGTGCGCATCGGTTAGTGCAACGTCATGCAGACGATTGTCAAAAGAATACAGATATTAGGTACAATGCATCACAAAAAGACACACAAAATATTCAATGCACAATCACGTCCAACTGCACGGCACAAGAAATATAAAAAAACACTTCATTAAAGTCACACGAAGCAAACAAACAAACAAAAAATGGAAAGACATGTTAGAGAGATATGGGAGAGACAAATGGAAAACGATAAGAGACAAATAAAAACTCACAAAAGCCGCCAATGGAAAGATGAAGATTGGTAAAGATATAGTGAGGCAGAGAAATGTGAAATTTAGTGGTGTCATCCACCCAGCTCTGTACTCACGGCAGGTCCTCGATGACGAACTCTCGGATGGTCTCCTCCATCTTGGTGACGCCCGTCTGACCGCTGCGCTCGTCGTCGTCGACCATGTAGCGTTTGGTCGTCTCGACGATCCGACGCGTCGGGTTGGGGCTGCTCGGAACGTCGAACGACTGGGTCGACACAGTCGTCATCGAGTTGGTGTTCTGGTCGTAGGTGGTGACCACCTTGGCGTTGGGGTCGTTGAGGTTGATGTCGATGTCGCGTGGTGCGGGCGGAGGCGCGCGACGGAACGGTTCCACAGCGCGGGACGCGGCGGGAGCGGGAGCGGGAGCGGGCGCGGGGGCGGGCGCCGGAGCTGGTGAGGTCTTGGACCGGATGGAACTCTCCCAGTCGTAGGAGCGGTTTGACTTGAAGGTATCTGTATTGAAGGAGGCGTTACTGCGCAGCGTGTCGGTGTTGTACGACTTGATGGTGTCAGTGTTGTAGGATTTCATCGTGTCCGTGTTGTAGCTGCGGTGGGACGGCGCGCTGTCCGACGCGAAGCTGCGGTGAGACTGGAGCGTGTCAGTGGCCTTCGCAGTTGGCCTGGTGAGGCCAACGCTGACCCCGCTACCATTCGTCGTCTTCGAGAACGACTCGGTCACCGTGCTCCTCGACGTGGAGCCGTTGGTGTAGGTCTTACGAGGCAGACTCGGAGACGGCGGCGCCTTCCGGCCGGCCGGCTGCGAGGGCGCGCTCGAGACGCCGCTCGAGATCCCGCTCGAGATACCATTCGAGCCACCACTCGAGCCTCCGCCGCCGAGCAGTTTGCGGACGAGTCGTGGCGACTCGAGCGCGGCCCGAGTCGTCTCTCGACTGGCGCTCTCTGAGCGGCGCGGCGGCTCGGCGGACGGGCTTGGACTGCGGCGGGACGAGGATGCAAAGTTGGCGTACGAAAACGGCTTGCTGTCCGCACGCGCGTGGTACGGAATCTCCTCCTCGGCTTTGGCACTGAACGACTCAGAAAACGCCGAGTCGGACTTGTAGCCGTTGTAGTGCACCATGTCTACTGCGTGCGGGGGCGGGTTGGGTGGCGACTGCTGCTGCGAACCGTACCCGGAGCTCACACTCGTGTCCGCGTCTCTGGAGCTCACCGTCCGTCCTCGCGACGTCGCGCGCTGCTCACTGACACTGGCCACCGGCGCCGACGCGAACGTCGGCGTCTGAATCGTGTCTAAATCGGGCGCGGGCGTCTGGCACGGGCGCAAGTCCGGTATGTTGGAGCAGTTCTCCAACAGTCCACTGAGCAGCTCGTCCAGCTGGGTAGCGTCCACAGACGGCTGTTTGGTCACTCGCGGCGGCGGTGGCGCTTCCACTGAGGACCGACAGAGGCGCGCGGCGGCGGAGGTATCGGCACTCACCAACGGACTGCTATCACAGGGCGCCGAGCGCGCCGAACCGGCCGAGTGCGGGCCTGACGGCGAGTGACTGCTGCCGCCACTTAGTCTCTCTCTGCCTCCACTCGAGATACCAGAGTCCATAGACACAGTGTGCAGTTCATGGCTGTCGGCGGCGGCGGCTGCGGCGGCACTCCTCGGACTGACGGGCTTCTTGGCGACGGTGGCGTAGAGTGAGCCGTCCAGCGGGCCCTCCGTGTGCGCCGGCGGCTCGGCCGCGTCTGAAACACAGTGCGGCCACCGTCAGCGGAGCGCGGCCGGAGCGCGGCGCGAGCGCGGACCGCCGCCGCCCGAGGCGCCGCCGCACAGCTGACCACATCAGCGACAATAGCGGCGCACGGCGACCAGCGGCGGCGGCGGCACGCGCACAGTCGAACTCTGCATGAGAAAAGGATCCGAGCAAGGTACAACCTACCCCAGAAACCCATCAGCTCCCCCGACAGGGCGACTACATTCAGTGATCACATCCCGACCGGCCAAAAATCACAGCGCCTGCTCAAGGACTACTGGGGCGGAGGCGGCGGCCAGTGCTCCGACTGAGGTACAGTCGTACACAAATCGGACCACCGGCCACTGAAACCGCCCCTCCATCAGTCAGTCTTAAAACAGAACAAAAGCCACTGCAAAATATAAAAAGAGGCACTATAAATTTCTCGGTGACGGAGTGTGGCGAGATATTTTAACGTCTCGGAGCTGTGAAGGTCGCCCGACGCATCCAGCTGACGGCTAGGCTGGTATGATGACGTCACACTGACCGGCCTTCCGTTCCGTTGTTACGGCTCGTGACGTCACAAAGTGTGACATCATACCGTGTGATAGAGAGGACGTGGGCGGACAGCCATTCCCACCAACTGTTGTTGTAAATGAACGGAATGGGGAAACCACTCGAAGGTACGCCTCCGATGATTTCACGACACAACTGTTATTGACTTTCTAGCTGCGGTGACACGGGAGGGAATGCCGAAACAACGACCGTCGAATATGACGTCACAAATCTGGACGAAGCGCCGACCGGCCTCCGGCGACGGTCTCGTCACTCGAGAGAGTGAGCTGTCGCCAGTCGCCCACGTTGGTCCCCAGGGGACAGGCAGCGCTCGTCAGCACGTCTGACCGACCAACAGACGACCGGAGGTCGGTGACAGGTCGAATTTGCGACCTGTCGCGGCGGCACATCTCACGGCGTTCGTGAGCGCCAACTGGGTGTTATAGGCAAGCCGGGGTCGCGTTCGGAGCGTGACCGTTTAACGGTGCCCCGCCGGACTGAATGAATAATTAACGCGGTCTCGGCGTCGACGGGCCTTCCTTCTCCCGGCGAGAAAATTACCGGCGTTCACGCCCTCGACTTACTTTCCCTGCCACAGGCACCGACAAAACGCCAGCCCGTCCCGAAATTAAACTGTTATCAGCCGTGTTGTTTCCTGTCACTACGTGCCCGTCATTAGAGCAGCGGTCATTGTCAAACCATCAATTCGGTGGCGCCTCGACGATGATTAGGCAAAACGTGTGTAACCCAGCGCAGCTAAGCCAGCAATGAGCCGACAGCATAGTAGCGCCCGTATACAACAGCACCACACGGTAGCTTTATAGACCAAACACTGACAGATGGCACCTCGGCGGCCTTGAAACCGTCGCCTTCGGCTGCCGTGTGCGTCCCACATCAATGGGGCATTGTGTGAACCCAGCTCAGGCTGCCAGATAGACCGCGTTCGATCTATCTGGCAGATAAAGGCAGTGCGCTGACAGCAGATGGGCTGCGAGGGCGCCCGCGTTCTACGTGCTGGTAGTATCGCTTACAGGCCGGCGAGCAGGTCGGCAGAGGCTGGGTTGTTGATGCCCATTGCGGCGCTGTATCCGGCTCTAGTAATGGGCTCAGACGGGGAGTAATCGTCGGACACAGCACGGGTCGGATCCCATGTCGCACACAAGACTGCTTTCGACATTGAAATGAATGGAGTCTCAGCAATGCTATTTCACAACCGTCTTGTTAGGGAGTTGCAAATGGGAGACTCATCAATTGAATGGAGGGCCGTTAACAAGGCTAACATAAATGGCAAGCGTAATTGGAGGTACAATGTCGGTACAATCAGTTTGTCGTTTGATTCACGACAGCAGAGACAATACAATTCGTCATTATTAAAACGGTACAGTTTGTCCAGCCATTACGGTACAAAGATACAAAAGGTCTCGGCAAAAAAAAAAAAACTGGGTAACTTAGTTAGATAAAAAGGATTGGTAGCTGTAATTATGATTTCAGGATGAAAACGGATGATTGAATCAACTGCAAAACTTTCCGAAGCCAAATCTTATTTCATTTCATTATAAATTACACAATAGATAGTACATTACGTAAGTGTAATTACACTGGATGTAGTCTGCATCGAGGCCTGTTAATAGCGTACTCACTACCCAACATGCATGTGCAATACAATGCCTAATCGAGCCGCTGAACGCTGTCGGATTCTCCAAGACACAACACGAGCACCAAAAGCCTATCAGATGCATTAATTTTCCACCCAGACGCCTAGCCTCAAGGGCGCTATAGTCCGTCCAAGATAAAAACGCCCGCTGTTCACCAGTACCACCTGCTGGATCAGCAGACCAAACCCACGCACCAGACCATCCAACCAACCCCCAGTCACAACATCCCACCCTGGACGACACCAACACACCTCTCTGACCGTCAGCTCTCCCCTCTCCCTCCCTCTGCCTGGCGCCAGCTCGGCGGGGTCGGGACAGCTCGACCGACGCGGTCACCGCGGCCGTTCTGGGTGGAGCGTTCATGGCACCCGCGCCGGCCGTCCCAGCCAAATTTGGCGCACCAATCAGGGTGGCTATCAGGGCTCCGCCACTGGCGCCGCATGGCTGGCGCGGTCAGGCTGAGGCTAGAGAGTAGGGTCGGAACGGACCAGCGACCGACAAGGGCTGGACCTGGTCATTGTAGCGTTCAGTACGTAGGTCAGTATAGCGGTCACCACAGAGGTCACTAGCGGTCGCCGCAACGGTAACGAGAACTCACCACTCAATGCATCCAGCACTGAGGAAAGAGATGCACTCACAAGCATTGAGAGCACCTGGCCAGAACATACAGAGTACATAGGCCAGCTTGGAGAGCACATGACCAGAGCTCGTAGCAGTTGAACCCTCAGGTGCTCTGTATTACAAAACAGTCTGTACCGGACAGAACAATGGAAACCAGAGGCAATCTGGCGTCCGAATTCAATCACAAGACCGACATTACGGGTCAGGTGTGACGAACAGGAATGCGGGCCGGTCTCGAAACGAGAGTAAGCCAATGCTCATAGTTATGATCCAGTATAGGTCTCGACTCTCACCTTTGAATTGGACGGCTACCATCTCCCGCACCGAGAGATTGACGCAGCTGGGTCACGTGCTTGCACCACGGAAGGCCGATTTGATACTGAGCGGTCACGTGAGTTCACTGTCTTAGCACGTGAATCACTCGAATCGTTCACAGCTGACTATTCACGACACAGCTGAGAGATGAAGCACCACGACACGGCGCGAGGTGACCAGGCCAGCGACTGAGCGCGTGCTGCGTGTCACTCCAAATACACCACCACGGAACGTCTCACACAGTCGCACTATGGTTGGAAACGGCCTCACGGATGGCCGGGGGTCAACGCGAAAAAATGTTTTGCCCATAACTTGTTAATGCGTAGACCGACTGCGATGAAACTTTGCATAGGTATACCAGTGTCTTTCGTGCATCATACAGTAACTCAGAAATGACGAGGTCACGTCACGTCACGCATGTGTGACGTCATCATTGCAAGTATGTTATAAGTCGCCTATGTCTTTCGTTATGTTATCGATATCGCGAGGCATTTTGAACATGTTTTGAATACTGCTATTACTGAATGGATATTGTTGTTATGCTTTAGGGCGAGAAATATCAACGTAGTGACGCACAGTGTCTTACTATTGGTCATAAAGGGTCAAAAATTTGGAGAAAGAGTATTTATGATTTTTTTTTAGATTGGGCAAAAAAGTAAGAAATAAAATGACGATCAAATGACAAAACATGCGTCAGATTAACCCGGCAGTTGCTGGGGTATTTCCCCATCCGCCGTTTGCCGGGGGGGGGGGCGTTCAACGCCCCCAGCCGATAACTCGCGAACAAATAGGCGCAGCGAAACGCACGAAGCGCGGCAAACGAAAGAAGAACGCGACGAGACGATTCACATGAATACTTTAAAGCTGAATTTCGAGGTCACAGGTCGGGTCAAAGTCAGGTCAAACACTTGAAATCGGGCTTTCAGTAGCATGGACTTTAGAACCTCGCAATCGGTGCCTCGCGTTTCGCGTTTCGATTATATCGTCATCAGTTGGTCCTAAGTAAATTCAGTCATCAGTTGGTCCTAAACAATCTGTCACAACTGTCACAACTGTCACAACCCTTCATATAAGTGCTAAAAGAGTGTCAGATCAATGTAGGGGTCAGTCAAACATAGGCCACTGGCCAGGGTCAAAGTCAGGTCAATCAGGTAAGAACATAACCCCGAAAATTAAAACTGGTACCTATTCGCAGCCCATGCATGACACATGTTTTATGGGTACTTTTGGGCGTAGAACACGATGGTGACATTCATTTTGTCATACGAGTACCTGGCTGGTTGAAAAAAGATCAATTTCAGAAATGCATGCGTCATGGTCGTGAAGTAGTCACGAGAAATTGCCAACATTCAGTTCAAGATTTTGGAAAATGTAGAACGATGATCAAAAGCCATAGATAGCCATTTGATTTGCCATGGTATTGGCAGTGTAATGGCGTTTACAGCATGTCTGTATGTCTGCTCTGTCGGTGGATATCCATATCCATACTCCAGGATATCCATACACGTTTGCACGATATCCATACTCCAGGTGCAGGGGCGAGCAGTTACTTCTTACGAGGGGTGCGGAGTCGAAGTCAGAGTCGGAGTCAGAGTCGGAGTCGGAGTCAGAGTCGCCCAGAGTCGTGGCAACGAGCCAGGAGTCGGAGTCGGAGTCGGGGTCGGTCAGGAGCCCGCAGTGGAAGTCGGAGTCGGTCCGAATCGGAACAGCTCCATCACGACTCCGAAACACTGGCAGGGGTCCGGAGTCGGAGACAGAGTCGGCCGGAGTCATGGCAACGAGTCAGGAGTCGGAGTCGTAGTCGGAGTCGGATTTGGCGCCACCACGACTCCGCAACCCTGCTTCTTACCATCATTTATAAGGATAA